CTTCTGTAGTAATTAAACTTGCTGACTCTTTTGCAAATATACATTTCAATGGCCTGCAATACTTGGTGGAAGACGGAACCCGGTTTTTCCAAATAATGTCTTTTCAATTGGCCGAAGCGCAGTGCATTTCCAAAGGAACATCAGAAATACTAAAAAACATTTCATCACTGAAATGTTGCTGAGAAAACTTCTGCTTATATTGATTTTGCTCCATACCATCGCAACCCCATTTCATGATTATGCCAAAATTGCATTTTTTGTCAAACGCAATTTCTTGCAGACCTCTTCGGTTTGATATAATCGACGGATTGTGAGGTCAATTAGTGACTGCACAGGTATTTCTGCTGAGATTTCTGTAATCACAGCACCTTGTGGTTAAAATAACATTTTACATTGTTTCATTTTATAATATGGTGGATAAAATTTACAATTAAATATTTCTACTTGCTGACGCAGAAGTTTGCACTGGCGACTAGACATGGAGACATCTACCATTAACGCCAGCGCTTGTTCTGGTGTTAGCTGGGATGTCTGGAGCAAGGACCTTCGAACCTTCTTAATAACAGTTCCCCTGTTTGGTGAGGCAGAGTATATTTGTTTGACTGTTGCTGCTGAATCTTTTTCCTTCTTTCATTAATTGAATGCCCGCGACAATACTCAGTTTTTCGCTGCTGGAATTCAGGAGGTGTTTAACTTTGCACCTCTTAGGTCTAAGAGCACAATCAATAAAACTCTTTCTTGGCCCGCCAATTACAGTAAGAGTAGTTGCTGACACTGATGCATTGTTGGAAACATTTTCAAGTACTATTTCCCCATCGAGCCAAGAAGCGTTGTAACGAAGAAAACGTTCTTTATGCCTCCCTATTTTTTCCCATTTAATACTGTTTGGCAAAATTTTGTACTTTAACTTTTACACCCTGTAAATGAGTATCAGAATATGATGCATTTTTCATTTCATGCAAAATATGTGCAAATAAAGCATCTGTCTTGGAGTCTTTAGGTTTTGTCATCCATATTTCGAAGAGCACCTCCGGGAAAACGAATGCGACATTCTGTAAAGAATGACTTCACAAAACTACATGCTTTAATACCAATTTTGCCCAAAAGCGGTACTCGGGGGTACTCTAAACTAAAACCCTTGATAAACTTTTCAAATTTTTTTTTTCGTTTCATAAAAAGTACATACCTTTCAAGAGGCTTTTTCAAGCTCTCCGAAGCTGGATTTTAAACAAAAAAGTCACCAATGAAAATAAAAAAAACTACTCAGATTGCACTGTTTAAGAACTTGAGACTTTGATCATCATCAGAGACGCTCACAGGACAAGCGAACACGCAGCACTGATATGAATGAATGACAGCGGAATCTTCACGAACAAGTTGATGCACGTTTAGACAATCATTTCCCGTACCTCGGCGAATTTCTAGTGATACCAATACCGATACCATATGGTCTGAACATGCTTCTACTGGTATATAGCACAATTTACACGTTTTGGAAAAATAGAAAGTTTGACTTTCAGTCCCGTAGATGGCCGAAATTACACGCGGTGGAGCTGTTCAAAAATTTTAAACTTTTGTAATTTTCGAAATTTCAGATTATTCAACGAAAATTGGACCGGATCCGTTTTTGTGTACAATTCTCTCATTGGTCATGAAATGTAACCCAAAAATTTGTAGCCTTTCTGCCGCTCTAGTAGGCGGTAATGTAGGCGCTCTAGTAGCCGCTCGCTACAGCGAGTTCGAAAATTTACCTGTGAGTTGGGTTGTGGCGGGGAAGAGATGGATGTCACTCAGCGGAAGGGGACATGGCTTCGGGAGGGGGCTGTGAGGCGGTTGGACACCTATAGCAATGTGTTTCGGAGTACACGACACGGGAGCAACGCGAATTCGCTCTCCGACCTTCGTAGGGAAAAGTGTGCGCGACAGCGACACGCAGGACAGCGCGAACAGAATTCGAAAGCGATGCAATAGGATTAGTGATTTTTAATACCACGAATAATGATACTGAACTTCTTGCGAATCCTTTTCCTTCTTCTTCTTCTTCTTCTTCTTCTTCTTCTTCTTCTTCTTCTTCTTCTTCTTCGAGTGGAACTACACCATGCGGTGTCTCTTGCACCCAAGCTTCCATCTTCTTCTATCTTGCCAATCATATTCTTTGATATGACGATATCTCATTGCCTAACGCACACCATCATACCATGTAAGTCTTGGTCTACCTCTTTTTCTGTGCATTGGCACCTGCCAACTCCAAGCTTTTAATGGACAACTTTCCTTCGGCATTCTTCAAAGATGCTCGTACCATTTTAAACTTCTCCCTTCTATTGTATTCATTATATCCGAAATGACACCCATTTGTTGCTTTCTATTTTCATTTTTTTATTAACGTTACACTGCTGCTGCGTTTCCAAAACTCAATTTCCATAGCTTTTAACTTTTTCTCGTTGATTTTTTTAGATCACCCACAACTCAGCACCATTCAGTCATATGCTTTCCACGATTGCTTTATAAATTCTAATATCCACTTTATTAGCAATATTTTTTATTCCATATTATTGAACACAATTGCCGAATAGCTTTCATTACTAAATCTTTTCCTGCCCTTTCTACCACAATGTACTCCGCCTTTTGTAATTGATTTTCAAACCCCATTTTCCATACTTTTCATTTAATTTCCTTAACAATATAATGTGCATCGTCTTCATCCTCTGCAAATATCACTTGACCATCTGTAAAATTGAGTGAATATAACATTTCGTCGTTTAATTTTATTCCTATCCTTTTACATTTTCTTCCAATTTTTAGAGCTTGTCCCAGATAGATTTTGAACAGTGTTGGTGCAATTCAACACCCCTGTCTAACCCATTACTTATCTTCATTTCGTTTCGTTTCGTTTGATATAGCTTAACTTGACATAAACGATATTGCCCGTATATAACTCTCTAATGGCCTTAATATATATGCTATTGATATATTGATTTTCCATGGCCATCCACAATTTTGAAAGGGAGAAACTGCCGTGCGTCTTTTCCAAAAAATATAGACTAGATGTGTCTCGATGTTATGCGCCAGCCGCTTTTCCGGCACTTGTCGAATGGTAAATATATTAGATCCACTTGCTCGAAAGCCACTCTATTCTTCCATTTCATTTTCTAATCTGTAAAGTGAATATACCTGACACGGACACACTGCATAAAAATATGTAAGGAATATTTCAATTCAGATTTTTATTAGATTTAAATAATTTGCATGAATTGGTTACATTTAATTATATATTTGTTTCTGAATTTTGGAAATTACATTTCCTTCATTCGATGGAGCCGCATCCTTCAGTTTGTTCGGGAACCAGCTGTCTCTGGGATGTATTTGAAATTAACTGTAGTGAACTTCATGTTTTTTTTAGAAAACTATAATATATAAACAAGTTAATAGTAATTGATGGAATGTCTGAGTATGTCTTATCCCTCAATTTGTAAAACAAAACAGTTCTCATTCACAGATAAAATAAATCGTTTAAAAACGTTTACCACATAAGTTTTTAATCTGTCAAAACTTGATATATCCCCCCTATTTAATTCTCTGAAGAGACGTATCTTGTTAAGATTTTATCGATCGTAAAGCAAGATCTTGTTGATCGACTGATGCCCTCACAGTGTGGAAGGAAGGTTGTTTGGGATATGTGGTAAAGACGCCATCTTTCCTCAGATTTGGTTTCTTTCAAGGTAGAATAATTGGTTTTCACCAACCAACCACAGGAAACTCAACCTCTCTAATTAAAAATTTGTTATCAAAATGTTTTACGTAGTCTAATGAACTTTCCGTACAATTTTCCATTCGTTCCAATTTGCCTTGCAGCGTATTATCCTTCTGAAATTGAAATGATGAAGTTTCTGTATGCATGGTCGATGGATTTACATCTCGACACGCAACAAGAGTGACCCATATTTCATTGTTACTGTTTTGTAAAGTTTACTTTATAATCACAGAAAATTATCGACGATTTTTTTGTGTTTTTAATTACGATAAATCACCTGGAGCGCGTCACCTTGAACGCGTCACAAATACCCGACCGAAACCGGCGCTACATTGTCCAGTATCGATACTTAAATGAAGGATTGGTAGTGGTGAAAATAATGGTCTGATGCGAAGATAATGATTAGAGATGGTATTTTTTAGCAATCGCAAAAATGAGAAATGTTACCAAACGATGTAAAAAATTGTAATTGTATGTTTAACGACCAGTGCAGTATATTTCTGAAGGTTTTCAATCGATGCCAAATCGATTCTGTCGATCCCAAAAGTTAAAAATCGAAGCGGAGCATAGCTGAGCCGAGATTTTTAATTTGGACAAGACAGTACTAACACTGTATCATTTCATGGTATGTTCAGAGTTTGATCGGTCACCATAAAATCTCATTTCTTTGTGAAAATTTACATTACTGCGATATGAAACACAAGAATTCTGTTTTAGCGGCACGATAATCGATATTGTTGGGTATTGCTTGCGAAATATTTATTTCAACAATACACTTGTATACCGTAGCTCGAGGAAGATGGACGCTGAAAATTCCTCTGTATCTCAAGAATTTACCAAATATTTATTTTTCTAACTGCACAATTAATAACATTATACTTAATAATGAACATCCTAAAAAATAATGCGTTTCTTTCATTACTATTTGTCTTGAAAATCACCATGTGAATTTTTCGTAATAATGTTGACTTGCGATGAATGGGTTGTTGTTTATTTAGGTTACTAAGGATGTTAAAACCCGTTGCTAAGGATTTTAAATTTCTTAACCTACAGGTAGTACAAGTGCAATTAACAAGTTAAGTGCACGTTAACAAGGGTTAAAGACGCATGTGACCGATAAAATTCTTTTATTAATTTTGATTCTTTTGGGGAAATTGATTTCACGATTCAAATAGGGTTGCCTGTGACTGTCAGTAGTAGTGCACTCTCGTGGTACATCGAAGAACTACGAGAAAAGTCAACGCCAGTTACCGAACCGAACAATGAGAGATGGACCGAACAAGATTCGGCGCCTCGAATGTCATTAATGTCATGTTTTGATTGTTTTGGTGGTTTAGGAAAATTTATCGTTCGTTCCTCATGATATGCGAATCTTGTAATGAATAGAAATCTATTAAAATCACAAATGCAAGTGAATGGTTGCAATATTGATTCAAATAGATATGATTATTAAATGGCATTTATGCGTTTCGAATCGGTCGTCACACGGGAGACTTGAGAAGCAATCCATAAATCTTCGCAATATGTAGTAATTCATTTTCCCAACTTGAAAGGAACTTATGCATTAAATTTTGGCAGTTGTCAGCTGTCAAGGTCTGTTCTATCTCTGAATTTTTTCTGCTGCATGGATCTTCAAGTAAATTATTGACAGCTGTAGTTAATGTTCAAGTCATTTTGAAGATTGTGAGAGTTTGTCATTTGCCTAAAGCAAAAATGCCAGTGGACATAAATCGTTTAACAGAAGGATGGCTCGAGTTAGAAAGTGATCCAGGTTTGTTTTTCATCATTTATCATCTAATGAGAATTTTTTTGAACTTAGATCTCCGTATTTTTGTAATCAAGTTTAGTAATTTACAATATTTTATGCAACATATGTTATCATTTACAAAAGAATGTTGAAATTTAGTTGAAATTATTTTTTGCAACTTTTTTCAGGGTTGTTTACTCTTTTATTGGAAGATTTTGGTGTGAAGGGTGTTCAAGTTGAAGAAATTTACGACCTCCAGAAATCACTGGAAGGTCCTGTTTATGGTTTTATTTTCTTATTTCGATGGATAGAAGAGAGAAGATCTAGACGTAAAATTGTTGATCAAAGTGAAACGTTTGTCAAAGATGAAGATGTAGTCAACAACATTTTCTTTGCTCAACAGGTAAACTACTTTAATTTATGCAAAATAAAGAACATTAATTCTCTCAAACTAATATGTGTATGTGTGCTTTGTTTAAACCTGAATGGTTTCATAACTCGTAGAGCAACCCATGTTGTTTGTAAGTTTTTGTAACAAATTCAACAGAGTAGAGAAGACAAGTTCATTTTTATTACTTATAAGCAAGAACTGAGGTGGTTTTCTCTTATTTAGGAGGAGAGATAAAATGTATGTGCAGAAAAATTGGTGTAGGTAAAATTCTATGATCATTGTTCAGTGGAGAATTTACCAATTACAATTTCAACTTTTATCAGACTGCTCTTTAATTAATTTAAAGGGTTGATACTACTTCCGCAGTATTTAAATGTTTGTGCCAGTCATTATTATTGCGAACAGGTCTCATTTATTAAATATTGAATTTGTGGTAATTTAAAAGTGAGAGTTACTGTACATCAACATAGATATGTTTTATAGTACTCAAAATCATCTACTTGAAAATGATGGGTTGAAATTATGCTGTGTGTTACTGGCTGCTTATAATCTTTAACAAAGGCCCTTTGCCTCCAAGAGAGGCAAAAGGAAAAATGTAATGCTCTACTAGTGAAAAGATGTTGAGATTTACGGAAATGTATTTCCTCATTTTATTTGGAGAGGGTAATAAGAAAGGAAAGAGGTGAGAATTAGTAATATTAAAAAATGGTAATAATAAAAATATTTTTTTTATTTTGAGAAAAAAGGTCACATGTAGATGTTCTCTATGTGTATTTTTTGCTATTTACTTCTTAACTGAAAAATGTATATTTGGCAGCTGTTCACATTGTTGTTTGTAGTGAATGCTTTTATGTTACATATATTTTTCTGAAATATGTCGAAAATTTGATATGCATTTTATTGTTTCAGATGGTACCTAACAGTTGTGCGACTCATGCTCTACTATCTGTCTTGCTGAATTGTCCCAACATACATTTGGGTGCTACCCTTAGCCGCCTAAAAGCTCACACTTCTGGCATGTGTCCAGAGAATAAGGTGAATATTTTTTAATATGCCTTTTATGTGCGTTCAGTTATGTTTTTTCAACTTTCTTATGTTAAGACAAACATTGAAACTATGGCAAATTTTACAAATGTTTTTACTTGATTCTGACGTTTGCTTTTTTAAATTGTACTTAGCATAACTTAATTTATGAAGAAAGCGAAGAAGCTACTAGCTTATTACTGTATTTTCATTTTGTATTTAATTTAGGGTTGGGCAATTGGTAACACCCCTGAATTGGCAAAGGCACATAATTCCCATGCTATGCCACAAGCAAAAAGACGTCTAGATAAATCATCTGGTGTCAGTACTGGTCGTTATACTGGGGAAGCTTTTCACTTTGTTAGTTATGTTCCAATACATGGGAAACTGTTTGAACTTGATGGTTTGAAGCCATTTCCTATGGACCATGGTGAGTATTGAACCCATTATGAACTGCTGAAAATTCTTATTCTTTAGACTTGAGATAAAATGTAAAAACTGTTTCAGTATTTTTATAAAGATAATGATATTTCTTTGTGAATTCCAGTTTAATGTTAATGTGAATAAATGAAGTAAATATACTACGTAGATTTAATTAATTGATGACTCAAATTTTGACCAGTGTAGTTTTCTGTACATTGTTTCTCAATCTGTTTTGACTTTTCTCCACCTGGAAACTATTCTGGCGTGATATACTATAAACTTCCATCTAGCAGTTCATTCCAGAGCAGTTTTTCACTTTCCCCTCTTTGAGTATGGTTTTGGAGATAAAACAAAATTTGATCATTTAAATGTTGGTATCATGCATAAGTAATTTAATACATGTATTTTCAAGTGAAAATATTTTTCATGATCCTAAAAAAACAACTTCATAATGCTCTTGCCTTTAAAATTATTTTGAATAGTTCAATTATTGAAATACAAGTCATTTTTTAGATATAGAGTTCTTTTCCTTCTGCAGTCCTGGCTGTACAGACTTCTTTAAATAGTCGAACATTGGAATTTTAATCACAGCGTGTGGATGAGGGCTGAGGCGGGCAAGTCTGGCACAGGAAGGGATTGTCGCCTGAAGGGCAGTAGGCCACACTGAGGCGATGTGTATATATAAACTAAAATAAGTACAAGAGAGTATGCATGGAAAAATGTCTTGTGGCACCATTTAATTATTAGAAATGCTTCTAAATTAAGTTAAAATAGTACATTAGTGAATAAATTTGTGCAAGTTAATTGTAGAGGAAACCCTATAATTTCGTTACAGTTCGCAAACAGCAAAAAGCTTATTTATGAATTCAGTAATCATCATCATCATCTCTCTTTTCAAATTCCACTTTTATTCTCACTGTTGTTTCTCAACATTTCAAAAATGTCACCAGTAAAAGAAGTATAGTATGCAAAACCATCTGAAAATGTAATGTTTTTCTTGTTTTCATGCAGAAAATTTTATACAAACTTGCTTCTCAAATCTGAATTCAGGTTTGGAATGGGATTTCATGAACAATACAAAGCCTCCTCTTCTTGATATTCTTCTGTTTAGATTTCTTCTGCTGTTTTAAGGCACCATTTGTAGGTGAATGTAAGTGATCCACGTCCTTTTATTTTGCTTCTGAAGTCACACTGTAATGACGCGAAGTGTCACAGCGGCCCACAATCCCTCATTTAGTGCCTCTGGATCTGTGTGTAAAAACTTCCCTTATATTTGCGTAGGCTGGGGCTTCAATTCGTGGGAATCGCTTCATCTCAGCTTGTCATCCTCAGTAAGCTAGAGACAAGAGCTGTTACACACCTCTTGAGGTTAGGCAAGAAATGTTCCATTCATACTGCTGGGCTGAGAACTTATGGGAAATACTGTCTCTCATTAGTAATTAAATGGTTAAAGTTCACCAGACCTTATAACCAAAAGTATTAAAGTATTATTATGAATCATCTCCTTGGTTTGCAGTATTGAAAGATATTTGTTTGAAGGAGTTGGTTCCTTCTAATAACACACTGAAATGCCTTTGCAACTGGAAATATTAGTAATTATTGAAATTATCAAAACTTTACTACTGTGTCTAAAGTCTCTTTGATTGTTGCCTGACTACTGTTATGACGAGAGGTCAGAAGTTTCTTCATACTTAAAGTGATTTTTCTCACTGATATTGTTTCTGTTTCTAGGACCATGGGGTGAGAAGGAAGATTGGACTGAAAAATTTCGTAGAGTAATAACTGACAGATTAGGTATTGCGACAGGAGAACAGTATCACGACATTAGGTTCAATTTAATGGCTGTTGTGCCTGATCGAAGATTAGCTCTTGTCCATAAATTAAAAATGCTAAAAACAAACAGGTGAAGTAAACACAAATTTTTAAAATTGCTACCCTTTTTTTAAAGTGAAGTATATTTGCACATTGAATATTTAGAGTACTATTTAATTGTGAAAAAAACATTTCAGGCAAATAGTTTTGGAAGCATTACAACAACTTGTTAAATTAACTCATCCAGATCTCACTGATAAGGAAAGTGTACAGAACACTGAAGAAAAAAAGGAAGCAGAAACATCTAACAACAAAGAAAAGAAGGATCCACCCAAAGCAAACAACGAGAAAGTGAAAATAAATGGTGTTATCCTTGACGTAGAGAACAGTAAAGCTGTTAAAAAGGAAGTCAACGATCAGGAAACCTGCAGTGTGTCTCATCCTATTTTGGAAACTCACAATTATGCCAAAACTCAAGTAGACCTCTCTCCTGACACAAGTAATTCACAAGAAGAAAAATCTAATACTGAGACCAAGTAAGTACTCTTAAACGATAATCAAAAAAAAAACTGCTTGGATATTTTAATTCATTAGGAGTATTGTTAGATGTTTCTTCTCTAGTAATGAGGTATGTAAATAAACATGTTGTTGCAGAGAGGAAAAGGAAAAAGATCCTTCCATGGCTGAGTTTTCTCAAGATCGTCCAACTGCAATGGTGCCAGTGGAAAATAATGAATCTGCATCCCAGGAACCATCTCCCAACCCACTAACTACCCAGGCCAACCCACAGACATCCAGTGCCCTGCCGCCAACAACACAGGAGTCATGCGTGATGCATCAAGAATCATCTTTGTCACCTCAGGCCCAGTCGGGTGGGGAGCAGCCTGCACCGGTTGTGCCTGCACAGACTCCATCTGCTCCAAAGGCTACTTCCGATGCTGCTTCTGCTTTAGCACCCTCTACCCCCACTCCCCCTACAACGATTGTGGTACCTACAGTAACAACCACTCCAGCTACCCAACCAGTATCAACAGCCCAATCAACTTCCACGTCTCCAACAACTGCTACAACCACTGCCCCTTCCACTCTCTCTGCACTGGGATCTCACTCCCCCTGTACTACTCAACCTTCCTGCTCATTGCCTTCTACCACTACAACTTCAGCGCCAGCAACAGCAGCAGCGTCAAGTTCCACTCCCCAGAGTACTGCTTCAGCTTCTTTGCTTTGCCCTCCTGGGCCACCAGATTATTCCACCCCTCTCACTATCCAGACATCACCAGCCCCCAGTACTTCAAGTACGGACACATCGTCAGAAGTGGGGTCAGCGTTTAATTCTCCTACACAAGGTTTGTTGATAATGGATGGACACATTGCCATGGTAATATAAATGTCAATTTGTGTGAAAGAACTATTGTACAGCAAAGCAATTTTTAGGACTGTGACATGCTTTTGGGTCCTGCAAATTCGAATAATGTAGAACGAAAGAGGTGAGAGGCATGACATTTGTAGTGTTTCAATAGAAAATTTGAGGAAGTGTTTAAAAAATGATTCTTCTGATGTGCATGGTTGTTAGTCAGTGTTTCAGTAAAAAATTCCAACAATTACAACACTTGTCAAAAAGGTATGGAAAAGTTTCCAAAGTTGTATGATTGTGACACTGTGAGGTTCTAAGAATTTAAGAGGTCAGAGAATTGTTGATTACTTCCTTTGACCATTGATTCCTAAAGCATATATAAGGTATGAAATATGTATATATTTTTTATATAGATAGAAGTAACAGTAACAGTATTTTTCATGAAAATTACAAACACACCCAATCAAATCAGAACAAATAATTACTATTGTGAGCATATAGAAAAATTAAGCACTTCAGAGTTGCATATATGTAAGGAAATGTATATGAAGTAGCAGACTTCAGAAAAATAAAGTACCACTCAAATTTAAGGTGTTAAACTTGTAATACTCCAATGGTATTCCAAATGGCAAATTTTAAAGTTCTAAACTGGTTACCATTTTGTATTATGTACACAAATCCTTTGAAATATTGTGAAAAAATAAGTGATAACATGTCCCATTAAAGGCAGTTGTTGATTTCACACCTGCTTCTGATTGTTGGGGGAGGGGGTCTACAGCTTCTTGTAACTAACAAATCAAAATAACTACAAATTATTATGTATTTGCTAAGTAAAAGAATATTTTACTTATTCATGGAAAATTGTCAGAAACAAAATTAAATAGTAAGTTTGCCAAGGAGATGGTCATTGTGTTTAACTGGTTTTGTACATTTGATAAATTAAAGAAGTCAACTCTAAATTCAAAAATATAGTTATAATATAGTTATTGTTTTTTGTCTGTATCAAAATTGAAAATGCAACTTATTTACAAGATTTGTAACGGTTTCTACATAACATACACATCTTTTAATGTCACTATATAAAACTACCCTCCCTGCAAACTCCACTCAGTGTGTCACAGTTACATGTTATATAATGCAAACAAAATTTGTTGCAAACTACTTTTTAAATTTAACTTTGCAAAATGTTATAGAATCAACTGTATTGCAAGTTTCAGTATGAGTACATCTGGTATTTTGCTATTAGTTTTGTCATGTTTTGATCTTAATTGTTGTTTGGATGAAGCTGTTGTTAGATTGAAGATTATGAAGTTAATGAATGATTGAAGATTATGAAGTTACTGAATTTTCCACAGGCTGGGGTTGGAATTCTGGACAAAGCAGCCCTACATCAACAAAAGATTTCAAAAAATTTGTAGTGATCAGAGTAGCAGGAAGTGGTGATGAGAAAGCGGATTCTCCTTCAGGTTGGCACATGTTATAACTTATACGAAGTAGAGCAGTGGTTCTCAATCAGTTTGTAATGAGATTGGATGTGGTGTGTCATGAACATGTTGACAAATAATCTGTATTGATTGTTTCCAGCAGAAGTATGCTGTGGTTGTTAATACCCTTTTTCTCTTCAAGAAAGATATGATTCCCTTTCAATGTCTTTTCTGAGATTGAAAGTTTTTTGTTTTTTTTTGTCAGATCCACGGCATCTGTGCAGAGAACACTGCAGATATATCATGCACATTTTCAGTAGAATTCAAACTTCAATTTTTACTTCATGAAAGTTGTATATTATGTACACAAGACTTAAATCTACTGGAGATGGTGAAGGGAGAAAAGAAAGAAAAAGTAAAGGAAACAACTGTCTATTATTCTCAATGTTTTGTTGTTTTAATGCATAATGATTAGACATTTTTTCTGTTCTTATTTGTTGCAAAATATGAGAATATTTCATTGTCGGTATTTATTTAAATTATTATATGAACTCTGTTTAAAATAATTCATGAAATGTTATAATCTCCACATTATGAGCTACTAATATAAGGATGTAAAGCAAACTAAGATAAGCTGTAGCGTCAATATTATTGCAATTTTATATCTTATTTAATTTATTTTGATTTTATCCATTTTCTTCACTAATTTGCTGCTAATGTCCTTCCTCCTTGTCATTTTCCACTCATTTGAATGTATTAGCCAATCTTTCACCTGTGTTATTCTAGACTTGTACCAATCTGTTTTTTCTTTCTCAATGTGGCCCTTCTACATTGTTATAAATCGACTTTCTCCAGCTTCTCATGACACAACCACTATACTCTTCTGCTTTCACCAACCAAATCCAGATGCCTATAAAGTTCTTTTCATTCAACTGTTTCTTCTAAGTTTCCCTTCTTCTTTTTATCTAATGTGTTGTCAACTTGAAAACTTTGAGAACCACTGAAGTAGAACTCATTGCTCAGAAAATCTGAGCATTTTAAAGCAACTTTTTGAATACTAATGTTTTAATTAAATTAATTCTGGTCACTTTAGGTCGTACTGCACCTAATGTGAATAATAATGGCAAGAGACTTTCATCCGATACTGGCAATGCATCTAAAAGAGTTTGTTTAGAAAATGGACAGAAAACATGGGAAAAAGAAGGAGATAAACCTCCTAGCACATCTCAGGATAATGCAACAGCAACTGTATCTAAAGGAAATTCAACAGAAAATGACAACAGCCTTGTTTCAGAAGAGAAAAAACCTGATGCCAAAATTTGCAACAAATATCCAGAACTCTTTGAACCTCATACTTTTGCCCCAAAAGACCTCCTTGCTCTTCTTAAAAATTTAGAGAATGAGATAAGCGTGTGCGATATGAACTTGAGGGATGAAAATGAGAAGCGGAAAAAGTATAAGGTACAATATCAAATTATTTTTACGGTTGTTGAGTAGCTTCTTTCATGGCATTCAGAGATTTTTCCTTCAGGATGAATGTCATATTGAGATGCAACATTTATTTACAGATTGATGATTGCCGGCGTACTCATAATTATGATGAGTTCATATGTACTTTTTTGTCAATGTTGGCCCAGCAAGGAAAACTTGCCGATCTGGTTCAACAGCATCTATTATTGAAAAAACCGGGTCTTCCTGTTCCAAGAGTACAAAGGTAAAAAAATGGTTTTACTCTTTCTGTGAAATAACTATGTAAATCGAGTATAATCTACTTTGTGTTGAAAAGTTTTTTGTTTAATGTATAACATATTATTTTCAGGGCAACTAAGAAGGCTGAAACAAGACCCAGTCCCTCAAGGCGCCGCAGAGGTCGTACCAAATACCGAAAACGCAAGTAAATGTAACTTTCCTTCAAATGCTTAACTTTTGTCTGTGGCATTATGACATGTATTACTCTCAACAGACTTTGATTTGATGTCAAAGAGATTTCACTATATTTATTTAATTTATTTATTTATTTATTTATTACTGATTTCCTTGTAGATGAAGGGTTGTGTGGCCGATATCTCTGTGAAATCTTTGTTTGGCTGTCCAGATAATATTGCACCCTAATCAGTTTTTTCAAGGACCCTGTATATCTTCATATAACAGGCCTGCCCAAGGCCCTCAACAAGGCTGCTCACAGCACATTAGCACAATACAGGTAGTGGCTGCCCATGCATATGCTGGCCCTTTTCGTAATTCACAAATGCTATGTATGTTATTGCTTAGCCACCCACTGCTGGTGCCTTTGTGGGAACTTATCACAAAGGTGCTGCCCCTGCTCTTTAATTAGTCTTCTTCCCTCTCTGTGCTTGTACTGTTGATGAGCCCTTGCATTCAAACAGCTCAGTTTGACCTGGCTTTTGATATATTGGGTCCTTGCAGTCCTCAAAGATATATTGTACATCTTTAAAATGTTGGCAATATTGCTTGGAATAGCCTCTCTCAGTCATGCTAACTTACTATTCCTTGTTCTTTGCATGGAGGTTGTTTCTGATATCAAATATCATATACTTAACATTCTTTGTCTGTATGAATGTAATGTCAAGTAGCATTTGATGTAATGCATGCCTAGTGGCTTACAAGAACATTAAAAATCAATTAATGGAGCTGAGCTCTGAAAATCATGCCACTGTATTGCACCGATGTGATTAGTTGTTATAAGCAATTTGTCTATTCTAAGAGTAGTATTAATATTTGGCTGAAAGGAGTATCTGAGATATTTCTGTGGAAGTGTCATTGTCTTTATGAATGTCAGATTGATTCTTACACTAATTTCAGTATAGTTGTATTAATTTTTAGTAATCCATCCAGACATGGAAATGAAATCAGTATTGCATTAAATTCTATGCAGTTTTAAAGAATGCCCAGAGAGCATAATTTAATAAGGATACTTTAATTTTATACATGTTTTAATCAAGTTTGTTAAACTCCATTGTACTCTATTTATACTTAAAAATGATTTCTATAAATATTTAATGCTCAAGATGAGGAAAGAGGCCTGAATCTTGTGGCGTTTTTTAATTTTTTAGTCAGAATGGTTGTTTAAGAGCTGTGACTCCTGTTTCAGTACTCGAATAATTTGTTTGCTTTGTTGAATAATGATACATAGATTTTATTGAGTCTAATGTAATCCTTGTTAAATCAATTTTTTGCAAGACGCTCCTCATAGATTGTGCATTTTTTGTACATAGTCAATTCTGTACATATAAATTTTGTATATATTGCAGTTTGTTTTAAGTGTTAATTTTGTTTTTAGATTGCATAATTTCAGTGAGATTGTGCAACTGAAGTTACAAATGTTGTTCTATATTAATATCAATGTTTTTACTGTTGCTTGCAAACATGTCTGTAAATATTAGGTTGTTAAATTGTATATTTCAGTAAAGAACAAGTAGTTAATTGCCCAGAACAAAGAACAAGGTATCAGATGGGTATTTTCTTAGTTGATATGTTCCGTGTCAAAGGTAGTGATTATTTGTTTTTCAAATAATTTATTCCTATTTTGTGCTGTGTTAACTCACAATGCACATATTTTGTTATTGTCGACATAAGATTAGAGAACTTATCTGTAAGATATTAGTGATATTTTTTACAGTATGGTTGTGGGAAGTTAATTTTGTGTACATAAAATTAAAAGAATCAATTTTTAGTCCCTTTAAAAGTACTATAATATTTTGAGGCCAATGCCTTTTTGTAAACAAAATTTGGATTCAACTATTTATTATGAATTGGATAATTTGAAACACTTCCAGATCACTTGTAAATTAGTATAAAGGAACTGGTTCAGATATGCACTCCCTCTTTTTTGGCAGTCAACTTGTGCTTACCATTCGAGACATGAGAACTAATTTAATTTTCAGATACATTAAATAATTATCTGTATTATGTAAAGGCAAACTAGAAGTTGTAATATTGAATGTTAACAATTTTATTTTAAAAAATTGCAAAATTAATGTCAGAAATAAGGGCTCCTAAAGTTTCTTTTCAACTATTGTAAATATTCAAAAGAGCGATGTTAAGATGAAATGAAATTGTTTTGAACATTTCAAGCATGAGTGTTATTGATGTGATGGCATATTTTCAATTACTACCCCCTGTTTTTATGTTCTAAATTTTCCAAAATCATTGAAAAGCTTTAAACTTTGATGATGTGTAATAAAATAGACATTCCTAAAATTTTTTTTCGAAAATCAAAAATTTAAATTTTCACTATCATTTTGAAAATAAGTGCTGATCCCGAATATACATTAAACATATTTCAGCAGCTAACAAGCATATTTTCATTCACAGTACTGCATCAAAGTTATTGCTGCCAGTATTTGGACCAATTCCTTTACCTATTATTGATGTATGTATTTGGCATTTTAGCATCGGGTTAATCCAACTTTAGCCAGCTAGTGGTGTTCCCAGGCCTGGGCCGTGTTTTTATTTATTATCCATGCCTGGGGTAAAGGAGACATGTGGCCAGCATAACGTATATTCCCATCACAAAATCTAGCATACTTTGCCTGCCTAACCTTTTCTTTTGTCACACAGCTATGGAAACACAATTGTATCAGAAAGCTACTTCTCTATTTTTGCCCTAACTGGGAATCAAACCTAGACTCGCATCATGGAAAGCTAACACTTAGTCTGTGAGTCACTCAAGGGGCATCCTTTCATTGATCAAGATATATAAATTTCAGGCATATTTTAATGTGATCTTGAATTTAGTATGTTTGTGTTGATTTATCTCTGTTTCTTATGATTTGTGTAAATTATGTAATCTACACTCCAGTTTGATTGATTTGAAGCAGATGGATTACCCTACCCAACTAGATATAATCATATTTTAAACTAGCAAGTTGCTCATGTACAATATTAATTGAGATTGCTGTTGTTATTTGTGCATCAAATACATTGCCTTCAGAAAGTCTCTCCCCAGAGACTTCTTCGATAATAAGTTGTTTTTATATGGAAATCGCAATGTTGTAATGTGAATTATTGAGTTCCTCTTGATTTTGTTGTAGTCATCACTCAGTCTAGCTGCAGTAGCAGATCTTGCGGGATGCTGCCCTCCCCCGCCTAGATTTTCACTTGATTCCGTCCTTTATTGGGAAAATTAATTTAAATATTTATTTATGTTAGAATTATGTGATTATACAATATAATAATTTATATAAATAAAATACAATGTGTTTATTATTTAACAAAAATTTATGATATCTCCCCCAAAATGATTGGCTGAATCCACCCCTGGTTAGCTGCAGGCAGAAGGGTTGCTCCCAGGGCCACTCAAAATACTTCAAAGTTAGTTCTAGAAAGTCGAGGTTCATAAAGGAGAATGGTGCAAGCATGACACACTTGGCTTAAACTGATCTGTTACTCCTCCAGGGACACAATTCGTCTGTTTTGTTCTCATATTACTAATTACCAGATAATGTGCGCAAGAGGATTAATGTTTCTAATCAACAGAGACTTTCTTTTCTGCTAGATTCATTTGCAGGATTTTCAGTTCAGCTTGTTCTCTTGAACACAGCAAATGTTTCGTGATTCACAATTGAAATCATGATTTAAGTGCAGCATGGGGGGGTGGGGGGGGAGTGGGCTAAGGGAGATGACTCTGCCCCTGTGATTCAACTTCCGGTGGTGTCTTTTTCAAACAAACGAAAATGGAGCCACTGTAGCAGGACATTCTTCTAAACACTGTATTTAATGCACAGATTTCCCCATACAATCCAATTAAACATATATTTCTTTCTTTAAATATTCATAATATTTTATTTTATTTTTTTCAAATTTGAACCAATTTAATTTCTTTTGTGTGTATCTACTACATATTTGTCTCAAGTGTTCTTTTACTTGGCTTACACTCTTGTATAAATAATCCTTCAAAGAAGGTTATTGAATGATTGCTTCATGGTGAAAAACCTAAATTATTCCTCATGAATGTAGCCTTTCGCAACTAATAGCTGCAAGACCAAGAAACAATTAGAACCTCATTTTTTCTCTTAGTACAGAATATGTTGAAATTCTATCAAAAATATTTAAATAGATTTCACATATTAGAGGGCTGAGGTATTTTTCCATCATGCTAAATAAAAATCTATTTTAGACTCAAACATAAATTTAAGTGAAAAATTACATAGTCGAAATTACATTTTGCTACAAAATGTACATGTTCTTTAAAAAAAAACTATATTTTTTTCTGTAGACAAACTTCAACATTCAGAAAATTAGTTTATACACAACCTTCAACAAAAATAAATAAGAAAATGAATTTGTATATGTATATACGAAAGAGATTATGTATTTTCTTAATTTTGTTTCATGTTGTTGAAAATGACTGTTACTAAAATGATTTGCAAATATGTATAGTTTTTATTTGCAAATCAAAGGGTGAAACTGGTTATTAAGACGAAAGAAATGTGATTTTATCAGGGCATTCAAAGGCTGTTTTGCGTGATATTCATCTGATTGATATTGGTTTGAAAGAGCCAATTTCCTTTGTCTTTATTTCTCAAAGTAACATTTAATGTTGAAGTTCAAGGAACTGTCCATTAAAAATATTCATTGAAAGAATATTAGCACTACATTAATTAGAATTGAACGAGTAATTTCAAGAACTCTTAATAAATAAGTGTCATAATCCTGTTATTAAATGACAGTTGAAAGATCTTTCAACTGTAACGTAATGTGTTAATATTTTGACTACTCCCTTTCAAGCACATTTGTTTCGATTGTAGCAATTTGGTTACTGCTTTGATGTAGCTAAAATTTGTTATTGGATGTCGATTTGTTAATTTATTTATTTATTTATTTATTTTTCCCTTGCAAACACTATACCTAATTTCTGTTAATGTAGAATTAATTGGCGAGGGGAGGGGAGGAGTTCACAATATTTTGCAGCAGAGCTGTTGTAAGTTGCAATCATTTGATTTGAAAGTTCAGATTTTAATTTCCAGTCACTTAGACTTAAAAAAATCACATAGTGGGCTATGCATTTCAGAATATGTTAATTTGATGTTTGCATGTCACTATGAAGTCGTAGGCTTCCGCAGCCAGAGTCATGTGAGTGATCTGGGCTGTCCGGGTGACACCACGGCAACTCAGCCTTCGACGCGGCGTCACCCGGACAGCCCAGATCACTGCATGTCACTATGTTCATATTTTCTAAATTCTGTGGTTGCTCTCGGATATGGATGATGGGACTAACAGAATGTCATGTTAAATGCAATTTTAAAAATGCCATAATGTATTTATGTTGCTATTTATTTCAATTTATTGACATTTTCAGACAGACTGTTGTTGAGGTGTAATACGTTAATTGAATTTCAAAATATATTACAGGAAAACATGAGTAAAATACTGAATTTCAAGTGAATATATTGATGGTCATAATATTCCATGCAAATAGCTAGTAATAACTGTGTGACATGTCATTACACATGAGACAAGATTGGAACATCAATAGTAGAGTACTTTTTAAATAATATGATGAAAACAAAATAAGATATAAGTAGATAATGGCTTGTATAATTTGAAAATTGTCAGATCAGTTGTTCTGTTTCAAATTATTCGTTTATTGCCTTATGCTCTATTGGTAGGTTTTTTGTTTATGATTTTTGCACACATTATCAGATAAAACATTGGAGCCCATGACTGATTCATAGTTTGAACTTTCCAAGTCAGTATAAAGGTCTTTAGAAAATTAGATTGAGTATGTTTATGTAAATATAATTATAGAGCTCTGTGGTAAAATACTTCCTCATAAAGGGATACAAACCTACTAACGTGTTTTGTTTTGTTTTATTTTTTCATGAAAGCTGTATCTCCCATTATTGTATTGTCATACAAATTATCAACTCCCAATTGTATTCATAATCCTGTGGTCTGGAATAAGATGTTCAGTGGCTTGTTGAAAATGGAACTTGAGAATTACCAGATGTAGAATTAAATTCAGTTACCCAGAAGCTTGTATCCCCCCCTCCCTCTCTCTGCCTGTAGAATGAATGAAATTCATTTAATTCAACTATGCAGAATAAACTGCTAATTGTAAAATATTTCTTCGAATTCAGAAATTGACAGTCTGGTGAATGCACATTACATGCAAATTTCAAAGTTAAAAGGTATTAATATCTTAAATATATTTTATTGTGTAATCTCATAATTTTCTGTTTCTTTGAAATGGTAAATATGGAGTATGCAGGCATGGTCAGAAAGGTATGAAGGGAAAAATGGATTGTACTTTGAGAAAGTTAAGTACATTAATTATTAATAGCTATAAAAATTTGGATGACATTTGAGAAGTAATTTTTGGATTAAGATTTATTTTTGTCAACTACCAGTGCTAATGTTACCTGGGTAAAACAATTTATAGTTTGTCATAAGCTTTAGGAATAATGTTACCTAGTATTGTCAAAATTAAATAAAATATTGTGTAACTCCAATAACAAATGTTATACATAGACAAGGATACAGATTATGTTCAAAGATATCTGGTTAGTTGTGGAAGTTATACTCAAAGATTAATTTCCTAGACATTAAATTGAAATTGACAAAAAGCAAGGGGAGGTAGCAGGATTGAGCATATAGAACTATTTATTGGTAATTTTTGGTATGAAAGCTTTGAACAATGATGAATCCTGTGTGAATTGCAGTTATAAAGATTTTTAATGAAATAATTCAGCAAAGTTTCCTAAATAATAACTTTTAAAAAAGGGTTTCTGTCACACAGCAGCATTACAAATCATATGTATATAAAAAAAAAAAATCAGACCTCCCTGAGTTTTTGTTTTGCCTGGTTGGCATCCCTTTTATATTTGCTGTGGAAAGCAGGAGAAAGACTGTAGGATGTCCTACAATGGGCTTGGAAGACTTATTACTCACAGGGTGCTTGGGAACTCATGGTCCATGCTTAGAATTGTCGTAAATGTTAGTAATAGTGTTTAATTAGAAAGTGTCCAGAAAATCTCCAATATTGGTGTTCATGTGTGGTGTGCCATGATCACAATGCTTGGTGATTTTCAAATCACACTAATTCATTTCAGAATATCTTAAGAGTTTTTTATTTCAACACATCCATCTCACTGATTTGAGTTTGACCAGTTGCAATATGTCATGAAATTTTTTTTAGCATTTGAGTCCAGGTTTTAAGATATGTATGTGCTCTTCATTAGCATACTTGATCTCAATTTTGTTTCTGCATTCATGAGGTACTACAGACTTCACTAAGGCTTGCCCTAGTCCCACAAGCATGTATGTGAAATGTGCTGTAGGGTGTTATATCAAATAAGAGCATGGACTGGCTAACTTTTAACACTTCACAAAATGGTAAGAGCACACATTTTGAAAAGAGTACTGCAGGAATATATAATATAGAGATCTTGTGGGCAAATAAAGGTCGTTAAGATGAAAACATTACAGTAATATGTAGGCTAATTTGCTCCACCTACAAAGAGCTCTGTGCTTTTCATTGCAAATTCTTCATGGAAGATGTACTCCTGTTGAATAGATTAATATTGAGAATTATGTGAAATAAATAATTTTGGCAATTATTCCAAAAGGTACTTTGCTTTAAAATTTTAAAATGTTTTTTTATGTTTTCAGTGTCTCTTCATAAACAAGCTCTTATTTACTATTCAACAAATAACTTCAATATGTAGATGCTCCCGCTCACACACACACACACACACACACACACACACACACACACACACACAACTACACAAAGTAAATATGATTTTTAGATTGAAAAGAACACTATTTGGAAATTTTCTGGACATGTCTTACTTGGATCTTTTCTTTTTCTTTACTTCCCACGTATTTCTAACTTTGTACCAAGAGTTCCAAACAAAGTATATACCTGATTGAATGGTTAACCATCTTGTGTTGTAATTTTGTAGTAAAAACCCAAGCATTTCACACATCTCCTAAGAGTAATAGTTCTCAAACTTTTTAAATATTGTGCTCTACACACAACTGAAGGTTTATTTTGTGTGATAATGAAATTTCCCTGAATAAATTATTCTCTGTTAAGTATAAGAAATTACCCTATTGAAATTTGAAAGTAAATAATCATAAGACTGAAAAATACTAAAATTTTTAATACATCATAAAAAAAGTAATCAGTGTTTGTGTCTATACATCAATAATAGAACATAACCTTCATGAATATACTTAGACTTTTCAGTCATGGGATTGCTTTCTGCTTTAACTCTTGCCATGGAAGTTGTTCACATACATACCCACTGCATACCACTGGATATGTGTAACAAACTATCAGTTTGAGAACCCTTGTCTTGGAGTACATGGTTTACCATTGAATCATCTAATATATTTTTATATCTGTAGGTATATTATACATTGTGCTATTTGCAAGTGTATTGTAAATCAAATGTGTATATATATATTATGTTTGTATGTATATGTATGTATAATAATGAATATAATTTTGGTACCAATGTCTTTTTTGCAAAAGTGCTTTCACTTTTGTAAACAAGTGTGTAAATATTTAACTTGTATTGTACAGTACTTATATCAAATCTTATATTTATGGAAAATTATGAAACATCACAAATAGTTATTGTAAATGGCCTCATTCTCAATGTGCTAAATCAGATGGAAATTAAATACATGAAGCCATTTTATTGGTATGCAATGAGCAATGTTTCTAGGCCCATTTTTAGTATGATTAATTTTCAGAAGTGTGATTGTTGCCAGCTTTCACAACAAATAAACCTAATATACGGGATGATTTGTTTTTGTATGTTGTATTTTGTTTTTGAAGAATGGCCACCTACCATGTGAGAATTATGATCATTTATTATTTTTGTCAATTTTGTGCTATTGAAATGTTTGAATGATTAACAAATTTCCAATTAGAGATTTCTTTCAGTATCTAGGTGATTAATTTTCATAGTACTAAATTCATTTTACTTGTGAACATTTGGCAATAGAAAAATGTGAATATGTACGGTTCTCAAAATATGCAAGTTCCTTTAAAAAAAAATGGAAGAAAGTTCACCTGTAGTGGTGTGGTCTTCTATTGGTTTAGTGTTTGCATTGTATCTGGGATTTGTGGTTTTTAATAATCAATATATTAAAGAAATAGATCTTTCAGCGATATTTCTCTGACTAATTGCAACTGCTCTCTATTGTTAGATGTGATGTATCATTTTAACTGTAACTGTCTATTCAATGGGCTAGGCCGAGGATGGCCTAATAGTGATTATGTTGTAGAAAAATAAGTACTCGTACCATGGAATTATATTAAATATTTGCTGTTCATTTGACTAAAAAAAATAGGAAAGGATGTATTGTACTTGATGTATTGTTTAATCCAACTTGATAGTTACTTGTATGTCTTGCTATACTAAAGGTTTGGGGATTCAAGAAGTTATGGTGAAGTGTTGCATGAGATACAAAATATGAAGATTATTATGCAAATTTTTGTATCTTGCATGAATTACATTAGAATACACGAACCAAAATCTCTTCATAAACAAGCCAACATGTCTTGTTCACTGTTGTTTGAAAGTGTAATTTATTCCTTTAAACGATAAATATACTTGGCGAATAATGATCACCGTCAACATAAATTTTAATTCTGTTTTTAAATTTCTTAATGTAATAAATTTTTTAAAGTAGTATTTCTGTATTGAAATTGTCATTATATACTTCTCAGCTCAAAATAAATATAATCCACCTGATAATTCATTAACTTCTAATGGGAATTTCATAAAATAAATTATCATCATACCATTAACATAAATTAACACCCGTTTCTCCCCAAAGGGTTCAGATTAAAAAGACAATTGTGAAATGAAAACACAATGTATGAGACAAGAATCCAGAAGAAAAGAAAAAAAAAATTTGCTTTCAGGGATAGATATTGCATTGTTGTGTTAAGATTCAGAAATTAAACAAATGTTTGGTCCAGACTATTCAGGTGGTGTGTTCTCTAAAATCTTAAAATTTCCTTTGACTAGATATAAAAGTACTGTGTCCATGTGCTTCCATATGACTTTAGTTGTGATAGAACCATTTAATTATTCTGTGGCAGTTCTCTTAATGGCTTACAAGAAAATTTCCTGATAATCCTTAGTATTCATATTTGATGTATGATACATTTTGCTATAAAATGGCCTAATTTCAAATTCAATCCATACACCTAGACTATCTGCAACCTCAATCCCACATTATCTTTTCCTCAACTTTTTAAAAATAATTTTTTAACACAATATAGCATATGTAATTCACAATTTTTTTTATTTTTAAGGTACAAATATTGTTTCCTGGAGAATAGTTTAAACTAAATGTGTGGACTAATTGGTTACACTGTGTTCCTCATCTAGATACATACTTTATTCTGCACAGTATTCTTATAAAATGAATATTCTTGTACATTTATTAGCATATAAATTTAGTCATGTTCAGCGCAATCATTACAAAAATAAGTTAATGTATTTAAGTTTCTACATAACTTTTATTCTGAAATATGCAGAATATGCTCTCAGAATTGTTTAATTATTGATATTAAAGTCAATATCTTATTTCTTGAAGATATTTATATACATTAATTATTGTGAAAAATGGATTTGTAATGGATATATGTGAAATATATTGTGCATATTATGTATGTTGTTTCTTTCAAGTGTTAAGTAATTTTTGACTTTTGGGATTGCTTTTCAACACTTTCCTTAAACTTTCCTGTCTTTTTAACATTTTAGTATAAGAGCACAAATTATGAGAAATGAAACTTTGACTAAATTTAATTGTGTGTTTTTTGGCATAATTGCCTTTTTATAATGATTTACAATGTTTAAATGCATTTAAAATTTTTTATTCAGGTGAAGGAGAGCCCTAATAGTTGTGTACAGATAACGAACCTCCATTTCCTGGTGTACTCGATTTGGCATTTGAATATGATGCATACAGTAGTCTTCTGTACTGTATACTTACATTTTCCTGAAAGTGGTCTTTTAAAAGGGGGAAAGTACGAAAATTGCTATTAGGAAGTTTGTTGGTGGTTCGGGACAGGGGAGGTCTTTTACAGGGGTATAATTTACATATGTTATGCGAGTTTCAGTGTCTGTTCCAAGAAAAGTCATTAAGAGGGAGTGATCTTTCAGATAGGTTTCACTTAGTGAAATCAGATTCTTAAAATTCTGTGAAGGCAAAACCTGAGACATTTGGTCTATTGGTAGGTACCCATGGACAATTCCATATAAACATTATTTGATCTGAAAAGGCATTTTAATTACTGAAGAGATGAACATTTACATTAGTGGCACTCCAGCAGCACATACCTTCCCACATTATTTGTAACTGCTCTGCAACATTATACTACTACATAAGCCTGGAAAATTGTTTACCACCAGCAATTTTTTTTTCCCACACTGAGACTCAAACCCAGATCCTCCAAGTTAACTCACCATGTGCCAACACTTAAAACTGTAATTGTTTCAACCAAATATTTCTAACACACAATTTTCGCCAATTCGAGATTAATGAAAATGTGACCTCTATCATTCATTTAAACATTCCTTAAACAAGGAAATAATTTTATTTTTAAATTGGAGCGATTATTGAGAATATGTTCTTATTATGATCTGCATTAATTTCAACGAAAATTACATGAACACTACCCCTTTTCTTTATGGCATTCTTTCAAAAGCTGATATTTTTAGAACACAAAAATCTTTTTCTTCAATTTTATAATTTTTAAATGATAAAATGTTGCAATTTTTCGAAAATTCAGAGTTTGCCGGAAATGAGACTTGCGCCATTTTTCTATCGTCCTTTGATGCATACGAGAAGTACATTTAATGAAAAAATGGGGCGGTTTTTTATCTTGTCAAAAAACCATAAAAATTGTGTTTAAGAAAATATTGTTTTTAAAATTAAAAGGTTTTTAAGTATTTCACGCAAAATTACGCAAAAACTACTAATTTAATCGAAAAATTGTACATCACCTTCACCTTACTTCAATATGTCTTTAAAGAAGGCATTTCATCAAGGAAAAAATCTCAATATTGTAGTTGTATAAAGACGCCAAAAAATTAAACTTTTGCAATTTTTGAAAATTCAGGGATTTCTAAGAAAATTAGACATGCGTCTTTCTCTTAAGCGTTGTTTACGATATCTAAGTAGAAAGTTTAATCCAAAAATTTGGAGCCATTTTTAAGAATATTTTTAAAATGTTGAGGCTTCATGTAAAGTATCCTGAAAAATCAAAATATCCTCTTCAAATTCAGAGGGCCTCGAGTTCATTTAAATCGGTCGGGGAATATCAACGGTTTAGGCGCCAGCGTTGACCCCATGAAGAGACATTTTGAAGTCAATCGATTTTTCGGTGTCGAGGACCACACACATTCACAAATGATGAATTCTGACTACACAACGAGTTAGAGGATGTGATTTACTTGTATGTAGAACGAAGTTTTTCCACTTTTTCGTTTTCAGGGCCCGGTAATAAAAGTTTTCTGCCGAAATTCCGCCGTTTTCGGCCCACGACTACAATACTCTCTCCTTACGAAGAGCGAGAACGTAAAACAATATACTTGGGTTCTTATTTCTTGGCGCGCGAGGCCTTGTCTTCGCGTAAGAATACCTCACGATATTTTCGGGGCTATCCGGGATGCGCCGCGTCTCGGTCTTGGGGGCTGACATTTCGGCCAAGAAACGTCTGCGGAGATTTTTAAGTATTGTAACGTTTCTCCGTGGTGAATTGAAACTCACAAGTATTATTTAAAACGTTTATTGGTAAAGAATTATACACAAAAACTAATTGATCTATTTACAGATACATTACACTTAGAGGAGTAACATCTCTTTAAAAAACCTTGGTCCAGCTGGCCCGGCTGGTAGTACCTTGTGAGGGCCCCTTGCCAGGGTAACGGTAAAGACACGAATGGCAGCTATGGCGAAAGAGGACACCTCTGGAAAGACATAACTGGCGGAAGACGCACCTTTCCCATTTGAGAGCAACAAATGAGGATGCATGTCTAGACGCATTAAGATGGCAGCCCCATCACTACTTACCCATCAATAGACACACCGTAACCCGTTAAGGGGAATTCAAAGTTACTGACACCCTTCAACGAGCCAAGCCGGTTAAACAAATGTTGACGACCATAGCAAGAAAAAGAACAAACGATTCGGAATACACGATAGACTTAGGATAGGGGTATGGAATGTCACAGAAATAAAAAATAAAGAAAAGGAACTTGAAAATGAAGTTCATTAAAAATAATATAGCCGTAATATCAGAAACAAAGATGAAGTGCAAAGGAACAAATTATCGATTGACAATGGAAAACCTCAAAACGAAAGACCCAATAGTGGAATAGCCATTTTAATTGATAAAAAGTGGAAAACCAAAATACAGTTATACTTATATAAGTGACCGGATCCTGATAAGCTTTAAAATAGAGAGGCTGTAATAGAGTTCCATTTCCATAGTGAAATGGATGCGAGGATGGATGCTGTTTAGGCGTGTAAGGACGGCTTGCAGAGATCCGGGGCCGTGGGGCCAAATCACAAAAGTGACACCCACGTAGCGGAGCCAGATTGTCGGTTTTAGGGGCGTTTTCAGGGGCCTGCTCTTCAAAGGCTCCCACGGAGAGATTAGGCGGCCTTACACCATCGTTCGTGAACGCGCGCCGGGCAACGAGCAACTCAGGTCCACGTTTCAGAACAAAACGTCTAAAGGGAAGTTCCGGCTGGCGCGCAAGAGTGCGGTCTAGAGCGCTACGAGCAAAGGCGTGGCTCAATTTACACGTGGTTTTGTTGCAAGTGAACAGAGTGACCAGCCGGGCGGTATTTTGAAATGGCGGATACTCGTTGCCGGAGCCGGGATATGGTGATTGAGTTTCTTTCCATATATAGGAAGTGCGATAGTCTATGGAAGCTTTAAAGTTCTGTGTATACTAATACAAATTTTAAAAAATAATGGGGACGGGAAGTCTACAGGATAGTTCTCCTTTAATTCCCTCAACAGCGGCATATTTGTGTCTGTAACGTTTTACCCAAAGCCGTGAGTTTTTTCTTCTCCATTTCTTCTTGGTATAGTGTTGTGGCACCAATTCCAAACACTGCTATAATTTTCCTTTTACGTTAATCCTGAACGGACATTTCTTATTAAGCAAATCGAAAAATAGTAATCTGATTCACTATACACTATAAACACGACGGGATAACACACAACACGATCAAAACATATATAACTGCACCATAACACAGAGTAGCAGAAGCGAGGAGCGTGGAACGCACGTGAGGACCGTCGGATCTCGGTAATTCCGTGCGTCGCACAAGAGCGCGCTCTAGAACGCTGCCGAGATTTTTACACGGACGATTTTACTCGAATCGTTCTTGAGTGTCGCGCAGAAGCGTGGCAGAAATAAGAACCACACTCTTGCGCACCACGGTCGTGCCCGCGCGCGCTCTAGCTCGTGGTCAGGAACGTCCCGCTCAGACGCGCGGCTAAAATCCCCGTTTAAAGGGCCCTAGTCTCCATCACCCGGGAGAGTGGTGAGCCCACGGCAATGTGTCTACGCAATCCTATATCTTACGGTATTTCGCGTCTTTCCCGGTTGCGTCACGACCGATAAAGATGCGAAATACCGTGAGATATTCCATCGTGAAGACAAGGCCTACCGCACCAAAAAATAAAAACCCAAGTGTAGTGCTTATCATTCAAACCAAATGGTACATACAACTTTCCCGCAGAATGGAAAAGAAATTTGTGAGAGCACCTCTCGTAGAGCTGCCCAAACAGTGCCTGCGTCTGCGGCTATTCACGCAGTCTAGGAGGGGACATTCCAGAATGGTCCGTCTCACATGTCTCGCAGTTGTGAACTAAACTCTTGTTTTTCTCCCTAATTATTTGTATTTTAGTTATTCATTGAAAAACGAATGTAACATAACCTCTTAAACTTACGTGTTGTACTTATTTCGGCAGCTCACAATGTCTAAAGCGAGCAGATTGCGGTGATTTATGTCCCCTTTGTCTCCATAACCGTGTCCTAACAAACACACTAACAATTTCTCAGCGATAATTGTATTCGACGCGTACAACACCTGAACTATGTCAGCTGTGAACAGCGATACTAGCAGCGAAAACCTTCCAGAGATTTTCTCTGATCTTATTGCGGGTCGCAGTGCAGGTCTCGTGATCAGCGCGCTGCCAACATTAACACGTCCATTTGTTTCAATGGGGTCGTTCTCGTTGCTTCGCACTTATCGCTGCTCCAACATAAACGTATCTAATACTCTGACGTTATCCGAACTGCGCGTCGAGGAGGTACAGAAATGGTCGCAATTCATACGCCCTTTTTTATCAACATGAAATGATCTTTCAAAATAGTGGAAGAACATTTTGGTCTCAAAATGACGTTATCTGCTAGTCTCCAGAACGTAGACCAATAAATCATAAGGTTAATTTGCGAAAGAAATGGCATCTTTATTATTGGTATGGTTCACTAATCAAGGGGATAGTGCATATACTTAACAGGTCATTTATAACAACTATACTTTGTTTATTTAATCTTTTATTTATTGATATCTGATTTACCACTGTCGCAAGCTCTGGGCCCCCCGCCAGCTGTTAGAACTCGCTACAATTCTTAACATTTTAATTTAACTTACAAATGAACTCTTTCGCTCACGATTCGGGTATATTTCGCATTTTATATTCCGTGCTGTATTCTATGCCTCGCCAACAACTCCGGACGTCCCCTTTCCAGATCAGCTCTTGGGAACTTCGCCGCCCCAGGCGACCCGCTGTTCGACCAACGGTTAACGTTCACCAAACGTATTGTAACGAATATTGCATCACCTGCCGGAATTCGCTGCGCGCGGATTGCGTCATCTGCCGCCCGAACTGAAAAAGCAAGCCGAAAGTCGAAAAATGAAACTCACTATTTTGAAGTTAGTACTACTGAATACCGAAAAGGACGCGCCACTGAATACTATTGCACATGAGCAAAGTGCATAACATCTCTCTCTCGCACACACACACACACACACACTATATATATATATATATATATATATATATATATATATATATATATATATATATATATATATATATATGTTGTTGAACACGTGCGTTTCGACATATTATGCTCAAAGAAAATAAATCTATTGAAAATTCAGTTTGTAAGTATTGTGTGATAACATACAAAAAATTAATATGGACAACACTTCTGGAGGTATGTAAAATACTTTTCATTCTACAAAGAACATTTTTCATTAAAATGTTACATAACAATATAAGCAAACAATTTATATAAATTTTGTTACTTTTTTAAACAATTTAATTTTCAAACGATGAAGAAAGTTACCCCGCGAGATCCCACGTACTTTGTCATTTAACAATGATCACGACAGTATATTCTTTTGATTCGTGAAACAAAATGACACCCCTGGACATCACCTTTGTTCGTAGTGTAATTGTTTGTTACAACTACAACTTTTTGTTTTAAAATCAGAAGTTTTAAATATTGTTTTATTGTAAAATATATTGGAATTGCATAACAGATTGCATGTACCTGCAAGACGTTCCAGACGAAGTCGTCCATTTTGGAACCACCATTTTGAATTGTGTAATTTTAATTATAAATTCCGATTGTACTACACGAGAAACTTTTACAATACATTTTTCATGCAATTTCATTACTTATTCCTAAACTATGCTAGCCATTTTGAATTTTATAATTTTAATTACATATTCGGATGCAGTGACTCTAAAAACCTTTATATCCCTGTGCCTATAAAATGATTTTTCGAATTTGGTCAGCTATTTTCACGATTCCGACTACCATGCGGCGCCACGGACGCCTGAGACCGTGGGGAACTTCAAGATATAGTATAGTGTTATGTGCACGTGTGAATGAATGTGTTTGTATATACGTTCGAGTAAATGAAGAAAAAAGAAATGAAAATTTAAAGAACTTTAATAAACACACTTCATACTTTATTGTACTAAAGAATGTCCAAAGCAGCTTTTGTAAATTTAATTTTAAATTAAAATTAGTTTAGTTTTAATTAGCATATTTAAGATAGGGACTAACAAATTGCAAAAGCCTAATCGAACGCAATTGTATGTACCCCATTTACTTGAATAAATTCCCGCCAGTACATGATTGCTGAAGAGGGGAAAACTGAAAAAACTGCCGACGTGTCTCCCGACGGCAGCTCACTTACACTATCGACCTGAGCGGACGTCTTTGCGTGGCGCCCTCGAGACCAGGCGCGTTGGAGCGCGTCTTCTGTATCACTAGTAGACACATTGGCGCCTTTGTAAGGATGGGAGCATGTGTCTGCCCACAATTGCTCCATTCACCCGGCACCTGTTGCGATCCTGCTTTCGCTGAGCAAAATCGCCATCTGGGAGCTGAACCATGTATTCCTATCTTACTATACGGACGGTGTTGTCAACATTCTCAGAATTCATCATTAACTATTACTAGAAATCGCCAGCCAGCCGCCGCCCCGAACACTGCGCCCGCAACTCTGCTGCCACTGAGGATGTCTACCATAGACGTGGACGAAACGTTTCGCCCTTCAATGCCAACTGGACCACGGCCTACCAGCCAGGAAAATTTATCTTCCATTGACTCCGGCCGTGAAAGCCTACGATGCTCTATATTAACTATTACTGTTCACGTATCAGCATCCAGGAGGGACTACTTAATGTTCAGTTATTTATTACATGCTCCATTTAACCTGATCTCGTGCACTTAATCAAATAATTTACTGAAGATAATTTGGATGTTACTGTCTGACAAGAACTGCTAAAGATACAGTGTGATCAATTTTTGCTGACCAACTCTTTGTATGAGGGTTGCATTTTATATTTTAGGATTAGAGAACAAAAACAAATATTAATCATTCAAAATCACTTTATTGTTTTCCAAAATATTCCCCATGAACATCTATACACTTTTGCATGCGTTTGAACCAATTGTCGAAGCACGTTTGCCATTCTGATTGAGGTATCTCCAAAACATGCATTCTGAATGCAGCAACCGCTTCAAGTGTCGAAAAACGTTGACTTCTCAGTTTGTTTTCTACGTACGGGAATAAAAAGAAGTCATTCGGTGCCAAGTCAGGACTATACGGCAGATGACTCATCAAATCGATGTTTTGGGTGTTCAAAAATGCAGTTGTTTGAGCCGATGTGTGAGAACTCGCATTGTCGTGGTGAAGAGTGATCCGTCTTCGGGAGTTGGTTTTCCTGATTTCTTGGAAGACAGCTGACAAACAAATCGTTGTGTACCACTCAGAATTGACTGTTCTGCGTTGTTCTAATGGTACGGTTGCGACATGTCCAGTTTTTTTCGAAAAAACAGGTGATCATCTGTTTGGAAGTGCTTCATGCGCGAACAACTTTTGTTGGATTTTGCTCATCTTGAAACACCCATACAGTCGACTGCTGTTTACTTTCGGGCTCATACGCGTAAATCCACGATTCATCACCTGTCACGATGTCATAGACGTGTTTCGAAGCACCGCGATCGTATTTTTTGAGCATTTCTTTCGACCAATCGACACGAGCCTTTTTTTGAGCGATTGACAAATTGTGTGGGATCCAACGCGAACAAATTTTTTGACAGTCAAATGTTCATGCAATATTGAATGTATGCTGGTCCCACTAACGCCTAAGGATGTCTCAATCTCACGATAGGTCACATGATCTTCACGCACAGCACCAATGGTTTTCGGAACAACAACTGATTTTGGACGACCTTCGCGTAATTCGTCTTGGAGTGAACTACGACCAAGATTGAATTCACCATACCATCGATAAACACTGGTCCTTAATGGAACTTCATCGCCAAAAATTGAACTAAGTTCATCCATGCCCTGTTGCTGAGTTAATCCACGTCGAAAGTTGTAACAAATAATCGCACGAAAATTTTCACAATTTAATTCAATTTTTGGGCCAAGATGAATCTTTTAAGTTACTGTAAACAACAGAAACGGCGCTCGTATGTCAAAACGTTCCGAGCACGAACAACCTCAAAACATCGAACTTTACGATAGAGCTGTCAGTTGCCAGATTGCAACACCAGTGTTCTCAAATCCAAAGACATAAAAGTCAAACTTCGTATTATGTAATAGTGCATTATAATCGCTTGTGGCTTCAATTGGTATTTATTTACTCCATTTATTACTACACCATGTACATTCGACTCCAGTTATAGTGAACTTAAGTCACTGGTCCCATTCCATTTACATTACAAATAAGTAGGGACCGGAAAAATATGTAGTATGAAACGACAAAATATGTAATGAATACAGTAAGAATATGTAATAAATATGTAAAATCGGATATAATATATAATATTAGAATACACTTATTATAAAACACATTAACATAATAAGAAATTACATTTAAAAAATTCGTAATGAATTTGAATAATAATAAAAAAGTTTTAAAAATCATTTGGAAACCACTAGTTGATGTACACTTTGCACCATACAATTTTCCCGTTGATAGTAAAAACTTTAACCATTCATATCCAGTACTGTTGTTTAGCAGCCAGACTAGACGCAAGAAAAACCATCGTACAAATTGGCGATGTCTATGACCAAGTCATTTAGTCCCATTGTAATCCTTAAATAACTCCTTTGTATGGTCCATTGTACTCCGACTCCCATTGTATTCCTTAAATAACTTTTAACTTGCTAGAAAACTAAATACATGATATTTCTCCAGAAGAATTGCGTAAGGTAATTGTTAGAAAAATATTTTAAAATTCACAAAAGTGCAAGATATTTCAGTTCTGGCGCAATATATGTAGTAATATCTATCAAGACCACTCTAAAACTAGAAACAAAGTATAGACTTCAGGTCCATTAGGGCTCTGGAAATGTACATTGCTCAAGAGCATTATTGCCAAACACAGGGTTAATTTCTTTTTAAAAAAAAAGAGGGTTAATTGAAAGAATGTTGGGAAATTTGGGACCCTATGTTATCACAGGTCCTCACGCAGTCACTTACACTGCTTACTGTTAAATTTTGTTTTATTAACACTTGCCCACTGAATCAACATTTTTTCATTTCTATTTCACTTGACACATGCAAAACTCACAACAATATTTTGAAGAAAAATTTGCTTTGTATACTTTATTTGCTTTAATTTTCTCAAATTTCACAGGAATGTATTAGAAGATATTTTGAATAGCTCACAATAAATTAAGTAAAACAAAGTACAAAATTAAAATATATAACTTGAATTTAAAATGTTCTTTAGAATAGAAATGTAAGAATGTGTATAAAGTTATTAAAATATTTCTAAAACATGATTAAGGATAAAACTGCAACTGCAAATGTAATTAGAACTTGAAAAGGATATGAAAACAACATAAAAATGCACTTACATTCAATTTCCTGAAGTTAAATTGCTCAATAACAAAAATTATGTAATGTCCAATATATCTTTATTTGCCATTAGCCATGCAATATACTTTTTAAGTTTTGAATCCTTTGGTTTAACATCCTTCCATTCATTGACACAAAATATCCTATAAGAATCATCACCGTATTGACCTATGCCTGTCAATTCTCTGGGGTAACACCAGTTTTTGTGAAGAAATTCATCTATACAACAAAAAAAAGTGATCAGTAGGATGTAAATAAGGAAACAAAGAAGTGGCAAAGAAAATACACTTACAAGTAAACCTTTTCAGTTGAATAGCCCTTCTCACATTCAGTCCAAGAGGTTGCATTAAAGCAGCAATTTCAATAATTGTTGCACTCTGAAGACTTTCTGGTGTACACCATTTATTTACAAACTTCCAGAACAGAGGAACAGCTACTTTGGCTGAAAACAATTTTAATATATGTTGCAACATTATGTAAAAGTACAATTTGTAACTAAAATTATGAAGATGAATAAGTGCTCATAGCTCGCTATTTTAAAGCACAACTTGCTTTCATTACAAACTACAAAACAATTTTGAGAACATGTAATTACACAAGGACATGACTTGTACATAAGCTTTGTAGATCTAACAGCTACTTTTTAGGGAATTCAAATGAAAATCTGAGTGAAGATGAAAGATTCATGTCAGGAAAGTATTTATTCTGATATCATTTATAAAACAAAACTTATTCATGCCCTGGGATTAATAGAAAAAATCATTGCTTTAAAAAATAGCTTAGGAGGAAAATGTAGACCCACAACATTCACTTCTAATGAGTAGTTGCACTGATTTATTGAGAATATTCTATTTAAAAACTGGAAAATACAATCATCAACCAGTTTCATAGAGAAGTTAGCATAAGGGACCAGTTTGACAAGTCGGAAAACAAAAGAAAGTCAAGCTGGACAAAAGCATTGCAAGAGGATGTGTCAAGGGCATTTACAAAGAGCCAAATGCAAATGAATATTAACTAATTAAGCACATGCACATAACTTGCAGTTACGCTACCAGTTGTAGCTAAGCAGTAGCTGTCAAATCAGTCCTTTCTTAGAGTAATCTCTCTAAACATAACTTGTACTTGCCTGATGTTTTATTTAGGAATATTGTAGCAACAAGTAATTGCCATGGTTTATGAAACAAAGTTTCTTGTATTAAATTATACGGAGAACGAGGAGGTATCCATTTTGTGTGCTTCAATTTACTATCTTGGTAATTTTCATGATACAATTTTATTTTCCTTTCTGATGAACACCTTGATATAACACTGAAGAATTAAATTGTATAATTATCCAAACATGTTGACACCACAAAAAATGAGATACATGTTCTAAAAAAGTACATATCATTTTAAAGGCAACTACTTACAATATTTTAACATTAGTTTAAAATATAATAAAACTATTATAAGAAATACAACTTATACAAAAGTGCTTACAAATAACCTTTTTCAGAACAAAACATTGAATTCTATGTTATTGCAAAATATCACTATTATTCTTACATTCATTGTGTAAAGTCAACAAAACATGACTGATATTTCTTTATGGATAGAAAAAAAAAGAAGAAACAATTCTTAAAAACAAGTTTGACAACTAATCTGCTTCAGTGATACAATACTGTATAAACCTAATAAAATATATACTACATATATGTACAATTTTAAATTGCTGGCAGAAAGTAATGTGATAAGACTTAGGCATAAAGAGAAGTATAACATGGTAACTAGCAACTCAACCTCAAGATCTACTGACAGAGTAGTGGCATAAGAAACAGACTAACAGAGCTGAGAAACTGCAATAAATCGCATGGAAAGGTTGTTTTAGCCATGAAGATAAAGATTCCTTAAGTAAAGGGTGTGGTAAAAGTAGGTGTTTTGTAGATCCTCCAGTGGGAAGTCATTTAAATTGATTTGTGGATTTTGTAAGCGGCAGAAGTAGCAGCATGTAGGGGTGAACGTATGAACATGTGAGATTTTAATGTAGACTGAGTAAACAACAGTGAGCACGAGTTAAGTAAGAAGCTTGAACCATTCCGCAAATAAGAGGGTTGAGAAGTAAAAATGACATGGTTTTTACAAATGGCAGGACACTATGAATATAAAGCACCATCAGCATCAAGAGAGTCTAGTCATTCAGTTGTATCAATAATGACGCAGGGCAAGTTGAATGTTCCATATATTACTCTATGTTCAGGCTTTGTAGCCGAGTTGAAATACAGCACATACCAGTGGGAGATAGAAGAAACCTAAGGTGAGTTATGCCAAGTTAAATAAATGGGTAAATAATCAGTAACGCTAAGCATGCAAATAGAATCATTCTAATGGAACACTGATGACCTTCGTTCCATGAATTTGGGAAAATTGCATGGAATGTGACAGAGACTTGCTACAAACCAGATTTCTTGTTAAATAATTGATATGAGAGAAAAAAATGGGCCAGGAATGGAAAGAGTTTAAGAAAAAAGAAATGAATGTTGATGACTGTTTTATAATGAGCAAGAGATTGTCCTTCAAAAAAAAAGTTTTTTGACCTTTCTTTTAAAAAACCTTTTTCCCCCCTAATGTAACACTTAAACTTGTGTTTCGTGTAATAAAAACTTGTGTTTTGACAGGACTGGTGTTGTTTAATGGGCTTAGCAGCAACACTATACATAGTAGAACTGTTGAGGGATTTAGGATAAATTGCTGTGAAACTGAAAAAAATTTACAACGAATAAGAATTAAGCTTTCAATAATATGCAATAATCATCATCATTGTACATATACTGCAGGATGAAAGGCCTGAGGCCTGTTCCTGGTTCAAAAGTAGGTCTAAAAAGGATATTAACCTTGAAATAATAACCCCTTCTTCTTTTTTTTTTTTTTTTTTTTTTTTTTTTTTTTTTTTTTTTTTTTTTTTAAAAACATTTCAAGTAACATCCATCTCAAGGACAGATATAAGGAAAAATACATTTAGGTAATGTAAAGAATCAGACAATACTGAACACGAATATCTGTCAAAAGGGTCGATATTATTACATGCATGAAGATCCTAAGACTCAAATAAATAAAGCTTATCTTAAGACTGGTTGAAGGAGTAGACAAAATTCTACAGAGGGAACCTGTCTGTAATAAGAAATTATGGGAAGTCATATCTGTTATGGAGATTCTATAACATCTTCCATAAAGCAAATTAAAGGATAAGAAGAGCTAAAGGTAAAAATGGGCTGTTGTCAAGAAAGAAGTTGTGTCCAAATTACAAGTGTGGTAATGCTGACACAGGTACATAGCAAAAGAATGAAGTCAAACAGACCCAAAGTACATTTGAGTTATTTGGACTTACATTTAGCCACATCCAGCCTCTTTTCCCGGCATAGACTGAAAAGGCACTCGCTTCTTACCCAGTCATTAAAAACCTAACCATTGGTGGTGTGCAATATCAGACTGAAACCAATGCTCAGAATGCTATTGATTAATGTAGTAACAAATCCTCTACGATGCTCCCAGGTTGACAAGTACATGAAAATACAAACTGAAGGATAATGTTCTTGCTAAAACAGGATATACCAACTGCGTTGTAATGGAGACATTTCCAAATCATATTCTTTTGCCTCAATATGCAACAAGTTTGACGAAGAGTTTAGAATCACCCCAAGTCATTACAATCATGAATTTTGCATGACACCATTCTCTTCAATAATTTTCTAACAAAAACCCCTACACTATTCAAACAAGGAAAATAATCCAAACTTCTAAATAATCACAAGAAATTTAACAAAACAAAACATTACCTTTTATGTTCATGTTTGATCATTCCATATTTCTCAACTGTTTTGTCAACTCCTACATCACTATGCAAACTTTCATAATCCACTTCCTTTTTAATATCTGTTAAATTTTCATCTCTCATATTTGTTGTACTTTCAATTTCTTTGCTAACTTCCAAGTTCCCAAATTCTCTTTGAACACAGTTTGTTTCATCAACAGTGTTACAAGTTTCCCCATTGTACTTTTGGGCATTGAAGGTGTCTAAAAAGATAAAAAATTATCACATCCATGCTCAATAGAGCACATTGTTGCACACAAAATGTTGATTATTACCTTCAAAACAATAGAAACATGTGACTTCACCACAAGCACATGCACTGGGAAATTCTACTTTAATTTGGTCAAAGGAGATACTCATTCTTTTTAAATAAGGCCTAATAGGAATATTTGGTATTATTTATAAAAAGGCCACTGAACCGAAAATATTTTTGTAGTTTTTGGTGGATTTGTTTTGATGACATGACAGGTTACAGTCTACGGAACATAATTACAGCTTAAAAAATTTAACAAGGGTATGATAAAAAGAAACTCAAGGCCCACTGAGCACGCTCTACATCATTAACATGTAAGTTTTGCACTAAACACATATGGCAGTATACACAAAAAAGTTAATTCCAGGTCGAAATTAAATGTCTAATCGTTAAGAAAGAAGTTGAGTTCCGCGAATTTACTAAGAGAAAATGTATAAATAATTAACATACGCGTGTTACCCTTAGCGTTTTCATCCAATTCAACTCAATTTTCACATAACGTCCACAAAATAAACAATTTTAATGTATTGTCAAAGTGCACCTGCGGCCCGCCCGCGCCCATTTATTTATATCAAGCAGCACAGAGCAGACACGAAAATACTCTCCGGACACAAATGTCAACATATGATAGGAGCCATCTATAGTGCGGTTTTTATAAGTACTCTATAAAGGCCGTATTTCACGGTGACATTATGACTGAATTTCGTGTTTTTCTCGTTCGTGACGTTGGATGTCGCATGATCACGACCGTGTAACAATGCTGAATACTGTCGCGATCATGCGGCATCTAGCGACCCGACGAAGAAAGATGCGAAATAGTGACATAATGCCACCGTGAAGTAGGGCCTTGAGGGTCAGAGTTATACAAACTGCACTAAAGTGTTGAAAGTGTGTGGGTATGTAGACCCTCCATCCCATATCGGCCGGCGGCGGCGAAATCTACTCCCAAATTGCAACCCGAGAAAACCGCCATTTGGGTGGCGACGAAGCGCGGGAATTCAAATATTGCCCTTCGGAGAAAATACGAGATGCACACTAAAAATTTGGACTTCTGATATATTTCGATGACAGAAAGCTTTTCTTTTTTTGAAATAATATTTCAGAAACTGAGGGAGTTTAGGGGATGCTGTATTTAAGTAATAAAGTATTCCTAGTCAATTCCAAGAACTCCGAAATGTTGCTCCCTGCATCTTGTTGGTAATTCTGTTACACAGTTTCTAGTTTTACCTTTCTTTGTCAAAAGTTCTTGGTTTACCCTATTCACTTCTTGATATAACTGAAGACTTTTATTAACGCTTAATTGTTTCACTCCTCTAGATTTCTTGTGAAATCGTGTTTATTGCAACACAACTCATGCCTCTACTCGGATTGCACTTATCTCTTACTTTTTTAAAATGTTAAATACTTTTAAAATATTTTAAAATCATTGCTGCATTTTCCATCACCTGCACATCATTTTTACTATTAGTATTATCAAGAACTCTATTACAAATATTTTTGCATTGCATTTACTTGAAGTATTATTTATTAAAATTTTGGCAATTTTAGATTTTTCTCTTTCCACCATTTCATGTTATATGGAAGTGGATCGATTAATTTTACAAAAACAGAGAAATGTACTTTTATTACAAAATATATCAAAGAATAAGAGCATAATTTTTACAACACTAATGTGAAGAACAAGGATGATCATATGAAGAAGGGTGGAAATTATCTCTTCGAACTGTTTTTTATCCACTTCAATCACAGTTCTTAATATGAAATGGGAAACTCTAATGTTCAGAAGAAAGGTATAAGATCGCTAATGACAATCACAAGCATTTACAAGTCTCATGAACATATCAGTGAAATGCAATTTTCTTCCAATTTGCATTTTTTGGTTAATCTCTTTTACTGAAGGGCGTAGCGTCCATAGACGCGTTGCAAGCGCCGCTTCCCTTACAACTTTCCCTTAGGAATTTCCATTACAAATTTTTACATTTTAAATGTATTAGTCCGCTTTGTGAAACTCGATGAAATGTAATTTCTATAGTTTCTACTGTACCAGTCTTACGTGGTCTCGTTTTTCACGCACTACTTCGTATTTCCCTCGCCCCGAAGATTGTCAGTGAGGCTATCGTAGTTAGAATAGGACGGACGACGCGTGAAATATTGTGTATCCTGTGCGAGGCTACAAGATGTCAAATTATTGTTTTGAAGAGATTCTGCCCAGACCGGGGCTGCATAGAGCATTTTCGAGTGCATCACACTTATAAGAAGTCGTCCCTTCTTGTCGCTGGAGCCGCTGGTGTTCGGCATCAAACTTGAAAGCGATGCTGCTATTCCTAGTGCTTTTTCTGTCGGTTCGGTAGTGTGGTCAAAAACGTAGCTTCCTGTCAATTTCCATTCCTAGGTAGCGAAGGCTCGTGCGACATTGTATTTTTTCCTTACCTATTAGGAATGTTGGGTTGGGGTAGGATCGTCTGTCCGTGATGAGTAATGCTTCCGTTTTATGGCCTGCCACTTCCAGACCTTTGGACGTCAGCCGATATTGAGACGTTTGCTGGGAGTTTTGTACCCAGTAGACTGTCGTACATAATATTCAATAAGTTAGGATCAAGTTTGGAACCTTGTTGGACACCACAGATAATTTCAATGTCTAAAGATCTTCCTTCGCCTTCGTAAATTGTCTTTTGGTCTCTTAGGTAGTTCATTCTCATACTGGTGAGGTACTCCGGGATGTTCTTCTTTCTCAGTCTTGACGATTTCATTCCGATGGACCGCGTTAAAAACGTTCCTGATAACGAGCGTTACGAGGGTACAGAATTATTTTTTGCTCCCTCTGTGGCTTTCTGGCCTTTTCTACGACTGTTTTGATGGCGTCGACTGTCGATCTACCTTTTCGAAAGCCATATTGCATTTCCGACAGACCGTGTGTTTCCTCTAGCCATGTCTGTAGTCTTTGCAGTATCAGGCCCTCAAATACGTTTCCCATCGTGTCTAGTAGGCATATTGGTCTGTAAGATGTGGTCTCGTGTTGTGGTTTGCTGCCTTTTAAGAAGAGAGCATGTTTCTGCTTTCTCCATACACTCGGAAAAACGTTTTCCCTCAAGCATCTATTATATGCTTTCAGCAGAAGATGGGGTGGACCTTTGCCACTGTCTTCAGAATTTCGTTGTGTATGCCGTCGAGTCCTGGAGCCTTTTTGTTCTTAAGGGTACTGCATAGTTTCTGTAGTTCCTTTGGGGAAAACATTTTGTAATGGGACGGTTGCACATCGCGGATGACGACACGAGCCATATATTTATTTTACTTAATTAAGAACCACGCCGCCGTTAGAGCAGCCGGAAATGCCGTTTCCGCTGTACCTGTGTAAGAGCCGCTTAGCTCACCGGGGGAGAGGAGGAAGATGCATCTCCTTTGTTCAGCTGAGAAAGCCGGACGCACCCCTTATGACGTGTGGGGAAGCACGCCACCCCCACACCCCTTCACCGAGCAACGGAATTACCCGCGCCTATTTCCGGGAATTTCGGTGACGTAGGTTACTGCGGGGGAGGTTGCTGGGGGCAACTTCGCCGCTGACGCCGTGATAGGCGGAAGGGTTACAGGTGCAGCGACATCCAATAGAAATAGACAATACGGGGGAGGAATCACGTGGTACGCGAGCCTTCCTGTAGGACCGCAGCTGGACAGCTCGATCACTTGAATCGGAGGTAGCGAGGAGGAGACTTGTATCAGAGTTAGCGAGGAGGCGACTTGTATCAGAGGCAGGAGCGAGGCCACTTAATTGGTGCCTGGCCGCCCCGAATGCCACGCCGCCTCGCCACATCGCAGCCGGACTCGTGGGACGAGAGCCGGCCGATGGGACGGAACACTACTACTGAGTGCCTGACCGAGAGTGCCATGTGAGTGCGAGCCGGGGACGTGGAAAACTATATCGCGAAGCGACCCGTCATCGTCCGGGCGCGTTCCCGCCGCCGCCCGCACCAAGCTGCCGGCCGCCGCTGGCCTAATCCGGGGCTGCCGCCGTGACCGCCAAGGAGCTGCCACAAAGGGAACTGGGGCAAGCTGACCGTCGACGCCCGCCGCCACACCTGCCGGGACTGGGATGCCCGAACGCTGCACCTGTGAGATGGATCACGACCGCCCGGGAGGGCAAAGACACCGGAGGCCTGGCCATACCGGCCGTTAATAAATTAAGATTAGATTTAAGTTAGTTTTAAGTTTATTTATGTCACTGGGATTCACCCACACAATACTAAGTGATTAAAGTAGTTTATGAAAATGCTGGAGTCAAGTAGTTAGGCAAGCGTGCATGCCTCCCTCTAGGGAGTCTGCCGACGAAGCAGCCGGGCAAAGCTGAATCGCCGAAGGATGCAGGTAATCGGGGAGGCGGTGGTTACAATTTGGTCTTCTGTAATTTTACTGGGCTGGCATTGTTCATCCAAGGTTCCTGACGCGATGGAAACAAATTCTTTATGATTTCGATTACCCATGTAGGGTCATCCATTCCGGGAGTTTTCCGCCTGCAACTTAGTTTTGTTGTGGCAATTTGGTACGGTTTGCGCCATGGGTGGTTCTTTATTTCCATTAATCCAGCAGTGGTTTTTACTATTGTTGATAGCGTGTTTTAGATCCTTTCTGTGTTGTCGAAGAGCCTCTCAATGGTTGCGTAGGCTTCCGCGGCCGGAGTTTATGTTGGCTGGGCTATCCGAGACGAGCCGCGTCAATGTCATGGTGGCTAACGTTTCGGCCAGCGTATTGTGGCCTTCTTCAGAGCGTACTGCTGCCAGATCGCTAGCGCGCGGGTCTTATATGGAGGAGAAGGCAAGGGCGGGTTTGGTCAGGTAGACGACCAATAGGAAGCGGGCAGGTGGCGCGGGATTGGTGGAAAAAAGAACGGGGCCGTAACGGGGGGGAGAGGCAAGTTGGGATCACAGGGAAGGTGCCACTAGAGAGAGGGAGAAATTCTAAAAAGGATTCTAAAAAGGCTTTTTATAGCATTTTTGCACTTATCATTCCATCAGTGAACACTTCTTGTTTTGTTGGCTGGCCTTGACATTCCTATTGATTTATATGCTGTCTTATTAATTATTTCTAGAAAATTATTTATTATTGTGTCTATATCATTGTTTTCGTCAAGAATATTTACCTCTAATAAGTATTTACTTATTAATTCTTGGTAGAGATTCCAGTCAGCTTTGTTGTAATCTTGTGATTGGTTGTTGAGTGCTGATGGTACTGGGAAAAGGGTTAACGGCTTGTGAAAATTGGGAAGTGGATTATCTAAGGACTACCAATTACACGTTGGTGTAGATATTTGCAGAACATATAGGAAGTTCAATTGTGCTGGAGGTTCAGAACTCATGTTGAAGTGTATTAGAGCACCACTGTTTCTTTGCAGTGTTCTACAACTTACATTGAGATTTATATAACATTCTAAATATGATTGACAAGGAATCAAAACCTAATTATTACCTTGAATGAGGCCCCATATAATGCCATGTATTAAACCAGCAAAAGTGAAATATGTTACAGATCTTCTGGTCTTCGTGTCACCTGCAGACAGAAATTGTCTTCAATGTGTTATGAAAAAAATAAAATGAATTACTAGTAAATGTGTTTTGCATCCACAGGTTTATTTTCTTTGAATTTCCTACACATCGTATATTTCATCGAAATATTATTTTTTTAACTTTTTGTGCGGAGCATTTTGTGTTCGTTGGAAGAATGGCACTTTAGTACTATTATAAATTATGTTGTAATATGTTTAAATAGGAATGTGTCGGAAGAATGGGTTTATACATTCTTAGGAAGGTGTTCATTATAGCGGCACTTATTTCAGTTTGGTGTTTAACTTGACAATGATATTAAATAAAAGTGGTACAAACTTTCAATTGCGTTTGTCTCAAAACTGCCTTTTTGCCGATATGCG